CCCAAGGAGGGGTTGCTATGAGTCAGGTCTGACTCAATGGCACATCACAACACAACAAGAACTAATGGCTAATGATCGTGAACAATTCATGTCTTTTGCTGGTTGCCTAAATATCTTCTTTGGTGAAGTGTCTGTTCATATATTCTGCCCATTCTTATTTGGATTATTTGCATTTTTAACATGTGCTTCTTTTTAATATTCAGGTGTTGGAGTTTTCTATACATTTTAGAAATCAGTCCTATATCATAAATGTCATTGCCAAAAATTTTCTCCCAATCTGTAGGTTCTCTTTTTATTCTTTTGGAGAAGTCTTTTGATGCACATAATAATTTAATTTTTAGAAGGTCCCGATCATCTAGTTTATCTTCTGCTGTCTGCACATTTTGGGTTATGCTTGAGAGGCTATTTATGCCATATATTAGAGCCCCTAAGTTTGTCCCTATTTTTTCTTTGATAAACTTAATAGTTCTGGGTTTCACATTTAAGTCTTTGACCTATCTGGAGTTAGTTTTTGGGAATGATACGAGGAATAGAGAAGCTCTGGTGGCGTAGTGCATAAGGCATTTCACTGCTAACCAGAAGGCTGGTAGTTCAAATTGACCTGCCACTCCTCATAAGGAAGACTGGGCAATCTACTTCCATAGAGATACTACCTCAGAAACCCAAGGAGGAGTCACTATGAGTTGAATCGACTCACCAACAGTGAGTTTGGTTTTGTTTGTTTGTGAGGTATAGATTTTGTTTCATTTTTCTGCAAATGGATATCCAGTTTTATTAGCACCATTTGTTACAAAAACTCTCTCTTCCCCCATTTAAAGGATTTTGGCTGTTTGTCAAGGACCAACTAGCTGACCATAGGTGGATCAATCTATTTCTGGGTTTTCAATTCTATTCCATTGCTCTATGTATCATTGTACGAATACCAGGCTGTTCTAAATATTGAGGCTGTAGACTAGTTTGTCGTACTGTGGCACCTTGTGTGTTGTTGTGAGGCTGTAGACCATGCCACCAGTATTTCAAATCCTAGTAGGGTCACCCATGGTAGACAGGTTTCAGTAGAGCATCCAGACTAAGACTGGGAAGAAGGAAGGGGCCATCCACTTCTCAAAGAATTGGGCAGTGAAACCCTCGTGGACAGCAAAGAAACACTGTCTGATATATTATTTGACAACTTTATGAATAGCCCTGAAACAGTGTCCAGTATAATGCCTGAAGATGAGCTCCTCAGGTGAGAAAGCACTCAAAATACAACTGAGGTAGAGTTACCTACTCAGAATAGAGTTGACGTTAATGATGTGGATGGAGTAAACCTTTCAGGACCTCCATTTGTTGATGTGGCACGACTCAAAATGAGAAAAAACAGCTGCAAATAGACATTAATACTCAGAACATGGAAAGTACGAAATATGAATCTAGGAAAATGGGCAGTTGTCAAAAATGAAATGGAACGCATAAAGATTGATATCCTAGGCATTTTTGTTGTTATGTTGTTATGTGCCGTGGAGTCAGCCCTGACTCATAGCGACCCCTCCTTGGGTTTCCGAG